CGCGCGAAAGATAAAAGTGCACGAAGACGAAACAAAAAGTAAATGCGAGAGAGAGAATGTGTGTGTGTGTGTGTGTGTGTGCGAGAGAGAGAGTCAGCATGATACTTTTGTTTGCCTGTTCGTATGATGAAATTGTCTGTTCGCGAGAAGGATAAGAAGGGGAGAAAGGAAAGGAATAAGAAAGTGCAGAAAGAAAGAGGAAATGCAAAGGAGCGAGCGAGCACCTTCGTCGAGAGCTACGTTGTCAATAGAGACGAGACTGATCGGGTCTCATCGCGCAAGAAATCTGCTCTCGTTTTCGAGGATGGTTTTCAGCTGAAACTCGAAGAAGAATGAAAAAGAAGAAGAGAGCAAGACGAAAAAGAAAGTGCAGTCGAAATAGATAAAATGGATCATGTTGATCCCGCGAGACGTGCGATTTTAAAGATTCTTCGCTGTTATTGTACTTCTTCATATTCTATAGTATTGCTGTCGCGTAAAATGGTTATAGAAGGAGGAAAAAAGAGATGAAAGAAGAACTAGAGATACTATCAAAATTCGATCGAGAGACCAAGTAAAGATCGAGAAAATGAATCGACGAAAAGGGGGAGGGGTTAAAGATGATGGGACGAGTGCGAATGAATGGGGAGAGGAAATATGTGATGTTCAATGTTATCGAATGTTTGACAGAGAGATGACATTATTGATAGCCGATATACATATTATATATATATATATAGATATATATACATATATATTATATATATACAAATAAATATATCCTTGTTCTATTTCTTAAATAATATTATTACGACAGTTAAAAAAAAAAAAAATCGAGTGTGTTCGCGATTATAGCTACTGAGAGAAAGTATAACACCAACGTGAGGACAAAAGAATTATATAATTATATAATTCTCATTCGTCGATTCAGAATTATATATACATAGATCTATATATATATAAACGCTTCGTGCAGTATAGCACGTCACGATCGACTAAACGAATAAAAAGAGAAAAAGGCTAGGAAAAAAGAAGAGAAGATATAAATTCATCGATCTCGTCGATCGTCTCGCGTAACCGGTCCAAATGTTCATTCATCCTCTGTAAGCGTACTTCCTCGATCTCTATCATCGTTTCATACCAACCCGATTTTTGTACATACTCATCCCTCGTATTCAGGCGAATTTTGCTCGCCTCTTTTTTCATTGATCGAACGAACGACGAGATCGAATCAAGGATAAACCAGTAAATAAAAGATTAAAAAAAAAAAAAAA